TAACGCTGTTTCTTGAAGTACAACACTTAATAACCTTTCGGGAATACTACTCTACTGTCGTCTGTTTTTTTTTTTTTTTTTAAGGAGATAGAGGCATTTTTGTTCACACTTGGTCATTACGTGTGTCTTCAATAAAGGTCACTGTGTTTCAAATATATTTTAAAGATATTGTCTTAATCCAGATATACATGCTAAAAGATACTTCCTTAAATTTTATCAATGATTGTCCTTGGCAATCTCCCTGCTATGTGTAACAAACTGAAAAAATGCAACCTAATCTATTATTGGATAATTACCATATTCTGTGCGGTTAAAACAATGACAGTAGCTTCCTTCAAACCTAACTAGATCGTGTCGAAAATATGCAAATCAAATGCAATATGCAAATTACCCTTTTATCAATCGTATTTGCATATCCCAGGTTTAAGGCTATAACAGTTCTCCTAGTCAACGCTTAATATGGCGCTAGAAAGTTTTAAAACAGAACAGACTGATTTATTAAAAGTAATTTATATATATATAAGATGTATATTTATAAATATCTGTGAACATATTTGACGTATTTAGATATTAAAACATCAACTTTCTTCATTCATTCTTATATTTATTTTGATGATTTATTGAATAAACTGCATCTTAAATATATACCTCCATTAAATAGCATTCATTTCCTACCATAGTATATACAGCTACCCTAGTTTATAAATAGAATATAACACTTTTCTTGGAATACGGAGTAATATAATTATCAACGATTATGATTTAAATTGAAAAACAATTGATGCAAATAAATATAGATGTTTTGATTATCCAAATATTTGTGTTTTAAAAACTTAACTTGCAAATACCTGAAAATTAGAAAAATATTGCATTTAAAAACACAAGTAAATAAATGCAAGCAGAAGAGAGAGAAATAGCTAACAATATTATTTTAAACATTTCCCTCCAAAATACTCCCGTGGAAGCAGTTCGCCTGCAAAAATGCCCGCGCTGTGCATTATGGGATTAATCAATAGGCAGGCGGTTCGATACTTCGATCCTTACCCTCCTCCCCCTCATTTTTTTATTTCCCCGTCGCCCCCTTTCTTCATGAAGTAATTACAGACGTCCCTCCATCTTTTTATTCTTTTTCCCTTTCTGACTGAATCCCTAAGTGGGTCTCTCTCTACCACATTCTCCTTCCTTTTTTTTTATTCCATACTTGCATACTCCCTACATTGATGCAAATTACACTCTATGGTATATCCAATTGATATGTTCTTACATTACGTGCTATACATGTTGGAAGGCTGTGTTGACCAACCTGAGTACTGTGTTTGTAAGTAGAATTGATGGTTTTGTATGGATTCCCACGAAAGAGATGGAAAGAATATGGAATTGTAACAATCTCTAGTCCAGTACTTGGCTCTTGCCCACACGCCATTGCCAAGCTAAATGAAATGCCCGTTGCCTTTGCTAAGGTGATGGCAGCAAGACATAGAATATGCCATGTTCAATCGCCTAGGATATGGTATGTGTGCCTACCATGACACAGGAGCTCTTTGGCGTCTATAGACACCTAGGATGTAAGATGTATCATCCACCATGGCTCAGGAGGTCTTCCGTGGCTATAGTCACCTATCGCCCAAGATGAAATATCTCTCTTTTGTAGAGAGAATCGGACCTTTTTTATAAAGCAACTGTTGAAGGGCATTCGACCAGAAAGCTAGCTGCTTATAATATATTGAAGACACATATCGCTTCGAATATAATATTGAATCGTCAATTTGATAAAATAGAATTGTGATTGATATACGCTTTAGTTTATCTTTCCCAGCAGCCGTTCTACGGAACTCTGGGTGCAGACCCCCGTGTGAGTCAGAGCCAGATTTGCATCCCGACAAAGATGAACGCAACACGTGCAGTAAGCCATCAATCATATCGGATTACGGCAGGGTTGAGCGTCGGTTTAAAAAGGCGGAGGGTTCGTCGCATTCCTTGCCCTGGGGGAACTTCACAAAACTGCTGACAGTTTGGAGAGCAGGTTGATTAGTTCAATTCTACTCACCCCGTTTGTCAGCCATTATAGAATTGAATTGTCAGTAGGAAAGCCTTTTCAAATGCCTGAAGTACATGGACATTGACAAAATAACACGGGAGGTCTACAGTTGAAAAAAACGATACCGTTCTATCGACAGCACTTCTGCTTTTGTTGCCATTTATTGTGTTTTTTAAATATAAAATATGTCGTTGCTCAACCAAAGATCGTGATAATCATAGTGGGACTCTTTATACTGGAAGTGAATGTATAACACGTAGAGAAGCAGTTCGTCTTTTGCGCTCACTGTTAGGCAAGAATAAGGGTTAATGAAACATTTTTTGTTGAATTTTTATATGGAGGGTTCGAACCCAATTTCTGTGTCCGAACACCACAGTTCAGGCTTAGCTTGTTCTCAATACCAGACCAAGATATGAGAGACAAAAGAGACATCGCTATATTCAGCAGTTGGAACAGAGTGGGGAAAAAAAACTATTATTATGAATCATTTGTATCAATCCATTTATAATGCTAATTATATAATTCGTACTATTTTTCCTAACGTAATTCCTACACAGTTCCATCCAAATTTTATAGTCACTCAATTTGTCCCATCACACGGAAAATTCTAGAAATACTTACATAAAAGAGGTCTATCAGAAACACCAAATTGTTACTGTGGAGAAACTGAACAGACTGCTCTTCACCTGTCCGAACTTTACAGAAGTGAGACATATAAAGGATTTAACTCTTACATCAGCCACTTTGTCTATATAAATTTTATGAACTCTGTCGAGAAATACATGTAAATTTGTAAATATTTTTATTCTAAGTTTTAATTTGTTCGTTGTTTTTGTTTCCTCTGTAATAGGCGCAATTATTTCAATATATCGCGCCTGGTTGATTAATTAAAAAAAAAGACAAGTCCGTCTATCCCTATCCCAGTTCCGTACAGTCCGTAGTCCCCGTAGGACCTGCCCCACTCCGGGGATCAGAAGATGGATTGTCCGCCCCCCCACGTCGCTAGGCATGTGTGGCTGACTCTTCTTGTTACATTCCACATATGGGGCTGTCTGCAGAGGTGATCTGTTGCTTATAACGGTACGTTGTCATTGCTCTTTTAAATTAGACTTTACTATTGTTTTGTTGATGTTGTGAGGTTGGGTTTGAATGATCTCGAGCATTTTCTCGTTGTGAGAAGTCCGTAATTGGGTTGTTGTGAGCGTCCAACAAGTACTGTCGGTCTTATATCAATCAAGGGTTTGTGGCTGAAAGATTACAATCGTAAGTGTATAGTGAATATTTTCAGGTAAATCGGGGAAACTTTATAACGTTGAAATAATACCAACGAAATCCTCAATCATGCACCTACCTGTTGAAATAAATATAGCCCTTTTTAATTTGAACACCTATGTGTTTTGCATTGTTCGCATTAAAAAAAAATGCCTTTTTTAAAAAAGATTATAAATAAACCAATAAATATATTAAAATAATTGACACTTTACCTTAAATCAATTTTAAAAAAGTTATTCATATGTATACTCACCGGAATTATTTCAGGAAGGTTTGAATACCATTTAAAAAAAAAAGCTTATTCAAAAACAATCGCTAATGGTTAATAGAAGTAAGGATGTCTGTATGTGGATTGATTGGTAGGGAGTGGTAAATCGAGGGAGCGTTAAATCGGAGCTACACTGAATTAGCAGATCTCTCTTCACTTTATTTGTATACGAACGAACAGTACTCCTGGCATTGAGCGAACGTTCCTGGCTGAGAACGTTGGCTAAGTCAAGGGACAAAGCCGGGAATGATATAGACATAACAACAACCCTTGAATCTCCTGTGGTTGAAACAGAAGAGAAACTTGTCTAAGTCAAGTGACAAAGCCGGGAACGATATAGACATAACAACAGCCCTTGAATCCCCTGTGGTTGAAACAGAAGAGAAACTTGGCTAAGTCAAGTGACAAAGCCGGGAACGATATAGACATAACAACAGCCCTTGAATCCCCTGTGGTTGAAACAGAAGAGAAACTTGGCTAAGTCAGTGACAAAGCCGGGAACGATATAGACATAACAACAAACCTTGAATCTCCTGTGGTTGAAACAGAAGAGAAACTTGGCTAAGTCAAGTGACAAAGCCGGGAACGATATAGACATAACAACAGCCCTTGAATCCCCTGTGGTTGAAACAGAAGAGAAACTTGGCTAAGTCAAGTGACAAAGCCGGGGACGATATAGACATAATAACAGCCCTTGCATCTCCAGAACGTTCCAACAGCCCGGGATATTGATGTGGACACATGGACCCCATAAACCCGGCGGTCCCCTGTCATTAGCTCCCCGCGGGCGATGTTTACGACCCCGCTAAGCCCCCGTGGGGTAACCACCCTTCGGGGGTGTTTATTGTCCAAGCTGCCCCTCGGGTGGAACCCGGGCTTTATGACTTTAATTAAACCTGGTCGGGACTTTTAGAAACCCGGGGTTGTCCACTTGAGTGGCGCCTGTCGTTCAAATTGGGCCATTTCTGGGCAGGACCATTAAGGATGCTTTCATTTTTATTCCACTTCCCCTGGAATTAAGTTGTTCGTTATGACTTGGCCTTCTTGACCTCACAATTTTCTACAGAGACTCTTCCCCTAATTTTATCATTTTTGTCTTTTGAATTAAGGTTATTCTTTTCATAAGAGCTCCCCAGGTCAAGATATATAAGTTGTACTTCTAGATAGTTTTTAAAATTATTATTTTCGATTTTACTGTTTTTTTTTTTTATTTCTGTGTCGCTTCTTCCTTTCACTACGAGATAAATACTTTATATACACATTTGACTATAAGATGTGGGAAGCCTAAGAATGAAGTCAATCTCTTTTCAAAATAAATATAATAAAAGAAACTCCCTACTAAATTATCAGAATAACAACAATCAAGGTGGATAATAAAGAGTTTGAATTTACAAAATGTTTCAAAAATTGATTTTGCCGGTTGGCCCATTAGCTCAGTTGGTTAGAGCTAATAATGCTAATAACGCGAAGGTCGTGGGTTCGATCCCCCCATGGGCCACTTTTTTTTTTTTTGGCTCAAAAATCATTCACTTTGGTTAGTAGCCCGTAAAACCATATTCTCTCTCTCTAGTTAATGTGTGCTCTCTTCCTTTTTGTGTGAGGTTGGTGACTTGGAGTGTAAAGTTCTTATTCAATAAAATCTTCCATTGATCAATTCTATCTCCTAACGTCTTCTTTTTCAACAGCGTTAAGTAGTTGTCATTGGGATTGTCAACTCTCCTTGAAGTAACTGCCATTCCATCTCTTTGTTCGACTTGGAATTCCTGGATCATCAAATTCTGAGGCTACTTCTTCCTTTTTGACGTTTTGTCTTTCTTTCATCTTCTACCATCACACATCTACCCTCACTTCCAATCATCCTCTCCTGTAGAACTGCTCAGAACTCTCTCGACATCCACCCCATGGAACCATGGTTACCAACCTACCCCAGTAAAAGAATAGTAAAGAAAGCGTCTGCTAGGAGATTTATATATAAAAAAGGACAAAAAATATTTCGAGGGATTTCTTCTCACTTTATTGATTAATAAAAAAATGTTTGCAAACTACTCCTGGAATCCGTTTTTATTAATCAATCAACTGAGAAATAAGAAGCAATCTCTCTCGAAATGTTTTTATCCTTTTGTTCATTTAGGTCCAAATATGTTTTCTTTTTACTATTTCTATATTTAACGGATGGCCAATTAACTCGATATTAGATAGTATTGGATTTGTTTAGATGGATATTTCACAGACTCACACCAATAGCTTACTTCTACTTGGTATAAAGGAAATTGGGGGTCGGTGGAAGAATGGTCTAAACTGTTGGTTTTCGACCGCTACGACCCGGGTTCGATTCCCGCATTGGGCACTTTTTTCTGATTAAAAAAAAAAAAATGCTCCAATGACTCCCCGATTCTTGCAAAAGTCCAGCCCCACCAGCGAGTGCAAGTAACCAAACGGGTCTCACATTTGTAAGTGAAAAGTCTAACTGCTTTTCACATGTGTCGCCTTCTTCTACCCACTATGAATATCATGGTCTGTACAACGTGTACTAGGGATAAGCAAAAATAAATAAATAAATAAAAAAAAAGGAAATTCTTAAAAATCGTATATTTATATAAGTTACAGAAAACCATACACTATAACCAATGAAAGTTAAAACCCTGCTAAACTACCTAGTGCATTGGAAAAAATGTTCCCTTTTATCAATATTACAATGAAAATATCAGGTTTTCTAGGGATACGTTTCTTGAAAAAAAAATCAATTACCAAATCTCTAGAATTTTCGGGCACTAAAGCCCTTTTACAGGAGAAAAACGACACAATAAATTTGTATAATAATAAATTAATTTTGGAAATTTTAAATGTATTTCATTTTTATGAAATTATTCAAAAATAGTATTTGATGATATTTTAACCCGTGTCTAATTGGCAATTAGAAGGGCTCTCCTGTAGAAGGACTTTCGTGCTAGAGAGAAAGATTTGTGAATTAAAAAATTAAACTTAACTCTGGAAGCCTGATATTATTTTCACCTTATTACCTAGTATATATTAGTGCGGTGAGCCGTACAGCAGTTTGTAAACACATAGTGTACCGACCTCTGGATGATGGTCATTATTTCTGGTGACACGGCACTACCTTTAATAAGCTCTCCCATTTTTTGTGAGTATGAAAAACTGAATAACAAAACCACTAAATATATAAATTGCCACTTTTCGGCACTAAAGAGACAAAAATAAAACTATAATTTTAATTTATAGAGAATCAAGGAAACTCCCCAAACAACAGAAAAAGTCCTTAATGCATTGAGGAGTCCTTATTGATTTCCTTCAGTTCTGACGTTAAAATATTCTACTCTTCCAAGGCAGTTCCTCTTTTTATCCATCTTTATAGGAAGATTATTTCCTGTTGGTCTCGAAGACAACGCCATCACCATCTCCTCAGCGGCGAAGCACGCGATCTACGTTTTCTTTGTAGATCATGAAATGTGTGGTGTCGCTGGAGACTCGCTGGCGATTCTCCACCAAACTCTGCAGCGGTGGTAGAGAAGCCATATTCATTGTACATAGGGTTATGTATATATAATTATCTTTTTAAAATAGTGCAGACTGTGCACTTTTTCATGTATTGACATGATGTCAATGTTATGTTAATTGTCATTGTCTTTATAGGAAGTTATTATGTTGAAAATACGTCGTAAGCTACTCAGTATACCTGCATACCAGATAGGTTTGTGAGGAATAATCACCAGTAATTTCTTTAATAAAGAGAATAAATTGTAAGGTCAAGTGTTTCATTTACTTGCGAACAAAACACAAGCTTTCAATACGCCGCTTTTAAATTAACTAAAGCATTAGCCATTTAAAGAGCGGTGGGTCGAAAACTCGCGTTTTGTTCGCAATTAAATGAAATACTTTATCATACGATCAAATCTCTTTCTTTTATTAGACACACACACACACAAAAGCCTTTATTAAGACACACAGGTCTTACAGAGGATTCTCCTTGGGGTTACAAAACGGAGAAACCTATGAAAGTGGGAAATAAAAAATGGAGAAAGATTATATACATATGGTAAATATATACAGATTATAAGAAAGAATAAAAATATAAGAAGAATAAAAAAATCAAAAAAAAAAATTGGAAATATGGATGGGAGAAGTGGAGAGCGAATCTTTTATTAGACATTGCATTAGCGTGTCATTTGTTACTAGAAATGTTAACGATTTTAGAGGGGATGGTTATAATTATTTTTTTTTTTTGAATATAACAAATTCTACAGGCTTTACAACGATGACAATGCAATGTATTATACCAGATAGTTATTAGATAACATTGCATGATTGTAGATGGCGAGGTTAGATTGTTTAGCCGTCTATATCCATTTCTACCATTATTCACCAACTATATATATAAGTATATATATATACACTCCCCCCTTCCCTCCATATTTATGCCTCGTTGTCACCCCGCGTTAAAAAAACATCTCTTTCTTTACTGCCATCCATTATGAGGGTTCTGCTGTAAAAATAAACATTAGTTTAACTCCTTCCTCCCCACTCTCACAACTAGATTCTCTCAAACCCTAGGATTACTTCTCTTGTCTGAAGAGTTCTGACTGTTAACGACATTGTTTGAATAGTCTTCAACTCTTTCGTTTTAAAAGGTTATTCTTGTATGCATGTAGGTTGTATGTGGGTGCGCGTTTCATATCTACTAGGTAATAAATTGATTACGTTTCATATAGACCAGGGCGTTATCTCTATAATTTTAGTTCAGAAAAACAAAGTTCAAATAAGTTCAAAGGTTACATGGAAAGTTCTAAAGAAGAACTCTTCTGAAATTCATTAGTTGTTTTTTTAAGATCTAAATGACAGTAGGCGCAGAAAATGACAAATTTTTGTTTTATTCTTTAAATTAAACAACTCTTTACAGAGATAATCATTATTGTGCGAGTTAGAAGTGCAAGGAACATATTTCTATATGACCAATATAGAATATCTATAAAAAAAGGTCACCTCTCCCGTTAAAATAAACGTTAAAATGATGCTATCTATTGACCGTCTCCGCAAGCTAGAAGACTCAGGTCGGTGACAAAGCCACAACACCAGCTTTGGCGCCCACCTGAAGACCAATGGTTTCGAGCTATAGACCCTCTTCAGTCTAGGGCGAATTATATTCCGTGAGATCCCAAAGAACCAAATGGAATCTTCACAATCTGCCAAATACAGAAGAGTACTTTAAAGAATGTCTATCCACCAAGATACTGACCACCTATTTACTTATTGATTGCTTTCTAGCTTTCCCTCCTCTTTCTTGGAATACGGGATGAATCATGTAAGACGAAATGTCTTAAGAAAAGGCTCTTTTATTGTTGAACTTTTGAGCTATACTTTTGACATTTGAATAGCATACCTGTTATGTAAATTCACTAGTTATATAAAGCCTATATAAGTTGTCAATTCAGTATAACATTTGCTACCTTATAGTTTACTTATTTGGAATGTGGAGGCGTTTTTGACATTTGGATTTTAATCTTTGACAGACATTTTGTTGTTTTATTAAGCGGTTTTCCAGTGCATCATCCGTCACATACATCAGTCCAGATTGATTGATGTCTCAGAGAAATTTAACATGTTCCAGTCGGGGATGTCCTGTACGTGTCATCGTAATGTGACATCTGTTGGAGCGGGTTGGAGGTCAACGTTCAGTAGCCGTCCAGGCGATGTCCCCCTAATGTCCTCTAAGCGGATTATTCCAATCGCCTGGCTGATCTGTTCACAACGTCAGATTTTCTTCCTCGGGGGATTATTCCATGTCACCGTTCTTGTGTACATTTTGCTGCCAGTGTTTTAGCTACTAGGTCTGTCAGGGGGTCTACTCACTAGACTCGCCGGTGTTTTACAAACCTGGTTTGTCAGTGTTTCGAAAACCTGGTTTGTTAGTATTTCAAAACCAGGTCTGTCAGTGTTCTGCCCACTAGACCTATCAGTGTTTTATTCATCAGGTCTTTTAGTATATCAAAACCCTGGTTTGTCAGTGTTTCAAAACCAGATCTGTTGGTGTTTTACAAGCCAGGTCTTTCAGTGTTCTGCCCACTAGACCTATCAGTGTTTTATAAACCAGGTCTTTCGGTGTTCTGCCCCACTAGACCTATCAGTGTTTTACAAACCAGGTCTGTCAGTGTTCTGCCCACTAGACCTATCAGTGTTTTATTCATCAGGTCTTTTAGTATTTCAAAAACTTGGTTTGTCAATGTTTCAAAACCAGATCTGTTGGTGTTTTACAAACCAGGTATGTCAGTGTTCTGCCCACTAGACCTATCAGTGTTTTATAAACCAGATCTTTCAGTATTTCAAAAACCTGGTTTGTCAGTGTTTCAAACCAGATCTGTTGGCGTTTTATAAACCAGGTCTTTCAGTGTTCTGCCCACTAGACCTATCAGTGTTTTATAAACCAGATCTTTCAGTGTTCTGCCCACTAGACCTATCAGTGTTTTATAAACCAGATCTTTCAGT